CCCGCCTTTCGTCCTGTCGCCGCCGACGCTCTCTCTTCCCTCTCGCTGCCGTGCTGCCCGGGGGGGCCCGGCTGCCCCAGCTCCACGGCCCCCCGCTGCCAGGCTTTCCACAGTTGCTCTCACACCCCCGGCTCCTCCAGACCCAGGGCAGCAGCCGATGCGAAGTTGTTTCCTCTGAAGGGTGCAGGGGGAGACCCAAGGGGTTCAAGTCACCCGGGTCTTGTGGGTTCAGGGCTGCTGGGGCTGGAGCAGGGCAAACCGCCAGCATCTCCTCCACACAGATGCACCAGCTGAGCTGGTCCTGCTAGGCCACAGCAGGGATGGAGCCAGGTCTCCCTCCTCCGAGGCAGCCCTCTATAAGGAAATGGCAAAAACAAGTAATAAGGGATGCTCGGTTGAGGCAATAAAAAGGAGAAGGAGGAGGGGAAGGCGCAGGGCTGTGTCTGAGCAGGGCCAGGCTGCGCAGGGGCTGGGAAGGGCCTCGGCCGCCTCCGTTGCAAGCAGGAGCCCGAGGCGGGCAGAGCAACGCGAGAAAGGAAATTGCTGCGTTTGCGGTTGAGACAAGACCGAGCGCCGTGGTGCGCGCTCTGAGCGTGCCGGCAGCCGGGAGCTGAGCTCGCCCAGCCCCAACACGTGAGCCGGCTCCCACGGCAGCGCTGGTGCTGGTCGTTCAGGGGTGGGGGAGACCCGGGACTGCGTGGCCATGCGGGGACCCCGGCTGGCCAGCAACGAGGGTGCTCCCGGCACAGGGAACCCCTTCCCACGTGGGACAGGCACCCAAGGACATGGAGAGGAGGGAAGGAGAGGCAGGGGGGCAGGCAGGGGGGCACAGGGAAGACTGGAAGAGGCAGTGATGGAGGGCTGCGCCAGGACTGAGAACCAAAACCCGCGTCAGCAGCTTTGGCACAAAGCCAGGACTGAGCTTGCTGGCGATGCCGGTGGGGAGGTGCTCTCTGGGCTGTGAGATGATGCTCGCAGGCAGAAAATGTGGGCAGCTTTCAGGCCTGGAGCTGAACGTGAGGGCAGCAGCACGGGCACGGCAGCACCCATGCTCTCAGCCGCTGAAAGCAGCCTTTAGCTGTCAGACGTTCCCAGGGAAGGGAGGGACCGACCCAGGTCGCAGCCACCGCAGGAGCAGGATGGAGCGCAAGGCGGGTCCCACTCTGCTCTCGTTCCCGAAATCCCTGGCTCAGGGGCCAGGCCAGCGCAGCATGGCCACGTTCGGGTGCTGAGTGGAGCGGCTGCGTTGCAGAGCCTCTGTGTTTTCGCAGCCAGCGCCTAGCCCATGTGCCACGAGAGCAGCGCGGTGCAGTCCTGGGCTGCTCCCAGCCCAGTGGTGCCAGGCTCGGTGCCGGAGTGCCCGCAGCAGGTGCTGGAGCAGGGGCTCGCGGCACGGCTCAGTCCGCAGCAGCACCGAGCAGCACCGCGCTGCGCAGTCCCTGCCCCGGGAACGCTGGGCCAGGCAGCCGCGCGTGCGCCAGGAGCAACGCCAGGTCTGTGCATGCCAGGTCCTGGGGGCTCACAACACACGGCGGCTCTTGGCAAGGGCAGGAAGGGCGAGGCTGTGCCAGCCAAAAAATTCTTCAAGCACCGGCATCACCCTGGGCAAGCCAGAGCAGCCCGAGGGGCCGGCTGCCGGAGGGGAGGGTGGGAGCCGGGGCAGGGGGCGCAGGGAGAAGCCCTCACACCTTTCTGTCTCTCCCAGCTCTCCCTCCAGCGATCCAGCAGCTTCAAGGACTTCGCCAAGTCCAAAGTCAGCTCCCCCGCGCCGAGCGAGAAGGAGTTCAACCTGGAGGAGAACGTGAGTGCCCGGCCCCCCGCGGGGCGGCAGCACCCCTGCCCCGTCCCGCTCCCACCTTCCCGCCAGGCACAGCCCTGCTCAGAGCTGTTTCCCCAGACTCCTGGTCCTGCTGGTGGCCCACATGCCGTGGGGCAGCCCCAGGGCTTCCAGCACCGGCAGGGTTTGGGGTCTCGCTCCCCAAGGAGTCTCGCAGCCCTGTGTGACCCAGCTGAGGTTTGCCCGGGGGGCGGGGGGGCTCTGCCTTCACTCTCCATCCCTCTGCCAGATCCCCGAGGATGAGTCCAGCAGTGCCGGCCCCGACGATGCTGCACGGAGCAGCGGGATGAAGCTGGGCAAGAAGTGGCGGGCCGTCATCTCCCGCACCATGAACCGCAAGATGGGCAGGATGGCCGTGAAAGCCCTGGCCGAGGGGAAGGTGAGGGGGGGCCCGGGCAGGCGGGGGCAGCTCCCCCTCCCTTGGCCTGACCCCGGTCCCTGCAGCAGGGAGACGTGGAGGAGGAGGGGTCCCTGTGCCCCCTGTCCCCAGCCAGCAGCACAGAGGAGCCGAGCCACGAAAAGGTGCCCCTGTCCTACGTGGAGATGGAGGAAGACGGGCACCCATCCCTCAGCCGCCAGCTGTCCAGCGGTGAGCCTGGCCCCGGCAGCACCCCGGCCCCTCGCCCCACAGCCGGGCACATCCTCACCTCCCTCCCCGCCACAGGCAGCGAAGTTTCCAGCCCCAGCCCCGGGAGCAGCAACCGGGAGAGCCTGCGGCTGGAGGAGAGCGGTCCAGCCTACACCGGCCCCTTCTGCGGCCGGGCTCGCGTCCACACCGACTTCACGCCCAGCCCTTACGACAAGGACTCGCTGAAGCTGCGGGTGAGGCATGCCATGGCCAGCCCGGGGCTGGGGAGAGCTGGGGCGAAGGACAGGACCAGGGTGCGGGCCCTGGGGAGGGAGGGTGGCGGGGGACCCCCCTGAGGGGGGGGGATGTCCCCAGCCGTCCCCAAGCCTGCACCTGCCTCCACCCCCATCTCCCTTGGCCCAGAAAGGGGACATCATCGGCATCATCGAGAAGCCGCCCGTGGGCACCTGGACCGGGCTGCTCAACAACAGGGTGGGCTCCTTCAAGTTCATCTACGTGGACGTCATCCCCGAGGAGACGGCCCCCGCCCGCAAGAGCCGGGGCCCCGGCAAGAGCAAGCGGCTCAAGCCCAAGACCCTCCACGAGCTGCTGGAGCGCATCAACCTGCAGGTAAGGGACGGGCGCCCGTGGGCGGGCGGCGGCACCCAGCACGAGCCCAGGGTGCCGGCAGCAGGACCACCCTCCCCTCTGCTCCCCAGCTGCCCTTCGCTATCCCCCATCCCCGTGGGCCCCTCCGCCTCACGCCCGAGCACCGCTGGGGGGCAGAGGGGACACGTGGCTTTTCCAGATGATGCTCGGGCGAGTGCCCACTGTGGACCTGTGCCGTGGCGGGAGCCACCAAGGGCCAGGCGAAGAGAGCCGGGGAGCCGCGCCGTGCTCCGCTCACCCCTCCGCCCTCCCGCCGCAGGAGCACACCTCCACCCTGCTGCTGAATGGCTACCAGACCCTGGAGGACTTCAAGGAGCTGCGGGAGACCCACCTCAACGAGCTGAACATCACGGACCCCCAGCACCGCGCCAAGCTACTCACGGCTGCCGAGCTCCTCCTGGATTACGACCATAAGAGCCGGGGGGGGAGGCCCCGCGCGCTGTGCCCGCTAACGCCGCGTCCCGTCTCCGTCAGCAGCGAGTGAGCCGGAGGAAGGCGACAGCTCCGAAGCCCAGCCTTCACCCTCAGAGCCCAAGGGGGACATTCCCCGGGACTCAGGCTGCTTTGAGGGATCAGAGACCCTAGACGGCAACCGGGATGAGGGCGAGCTGGGGGGTCCCGAGGGGCAGCTGCGGGCCCTCTCCCTGGCAGAGTCCTCCTGAGGCGGCCCTGCCTGCTGGCACTGCCCCGCCGACACAGCCGCTTCCCACCCTGGCCTGGCAGCGGGTCCGGACTGGTGGGGACGGCTGCTGGCGGGGGAAGCAGGTGAGCCCTGGCGCGGGCGCCCTGCGCTGCAGGCGGGAGCTGCGCAGCTGCGGGCACTTCAGCCCTCGGCCCCCCGAGGCTGCCCCGTCCGCTGCCCCCGGGACATTTTGCACTGCGCTGCCTTGCACCGCTGCCCCGACGAGGGTGCTCCGGGCACACCGCACTCCCCGCCGAGATGCCGCGGGCCTGGATTGCCTCTCCTGGGTTTGCCCCACTTTATCCACAGCTTTAATAGCTCCTCCCAGAGCCCTCGCCTGCCAGGCAGAGCGCATGGCAGCCTGCAAGGACAGCGCAATCTGCAGCAGGCAGGGAGGGAGCAAACCCAGCGCCGAGCAGCCATGTGCGAAAGCGCAGAGGTGCTGCTGAGCCCAGCTCCTCACCGGCAGGGAGGACGCCCGCGCCGCCTTCCTCCACCGTCTTCCTTGCGCGGCCAGGGAAAGGTTTGCTGGGAAGTCTGGGTTGTGGGGGGAGAGGGTCAGCCCAGCCAGGGCACCGCGAGCCCCCTCCCTCGGCTCGAGAGGAGCCCCGAAGGCTGCCCGCAGCTCACCACCGAACCTGGTCCGGAGGGCTGCGGGAGGGAGCTGGAGCAAGCGCCCTGCTGCTCCGCGGGCAGAGGGGCTTGGCAGGGTGAGGCAGGACAGCCCCCGTGGCAGGATGGCCCCTTCCAGCCTGCCAGATCCCCCCAGCGCACCGGCCACCCCAGGCACCCCCTGGGACGGGGCAGGGGAGCTGCAGCCCAGGCGGGGCCCTGCAGAGCCCCCCTGTGCGGGCAGGGGCAGGCAAGGGAAGGCATCCACATGGGATCCTGGGGCACCCTCGAACAAATAAAGAGGCTGGTTCCCCGCTCGGGGTACCTACCCCAGCCCCCTCCGGCCCGGCTCTTGCTGCTGCACGCCACCAGCTCCAGCTCCTGCGCTGCAGCACCCTTTGGGCACCCGGGTCGTTCCTTTGCGCTCAATCTCAATAAAAGCGTGCAAGTCCATTTCACCCCGGCCTTCAGCCTGCTTCCGACCCGCCGGCAAGGCTCGGGGAGGGAGCTGGGGAAGGGAGCTGTGTCTGCGGGTAACTGAAAGCTCCCCAGGCCGCTCCCCGGCTGCAGCCGCCGGGACTTGTCCCTGCTCAGCGCGGGCTGCAGCATCTGCGCACGAGACCCCCCTCCACCCGCCGTGGGGGGACAGCGGGACACAGGACACGGCAGAGAAGAGACCCTGGAAGCGCGAGATGTAGAGGCTGGAAAGCCGCAGGGAAGGGGACAGAGGCAGGCGGCTTGGGGAGGCACAGACAGAGGCAGAGGCTACAGCTCAGCCATTTTTCAAACCAATTAAGTTTCCTTCATTGTTTTAAAATAAAAAAAAAAAAGAAGAAAAAAAAAATGAAGAAACCCCAACCCTCGCCCTACCCCCACTTCCTTCACGGAGAACCTGAACAGAGCAGACAGGAACCACAGGTGCAGGCAGCATCCGCGACGGCCCCAGCAGGCAGCACTCGACACACCGCGTTAGAAAATAGATTAGTAAAACCAAAAAATACACTTTTTCACAATGAGTTTGAGATTTGGTCAGTAGCGTGTTGGGGCGGGTGGGAGAGGAGGGGCAGCTCCCACCGCCAGCGGGGCGCGCGGGGGGCCACCACAGCGGCCCGGGGCCCGGCCCCGGACCCCCTTCCCCCGGGGCCGGGCCCGGGGCG